AAGCAGCCTCGTTCTCAGGCTTAAAGGTTCAGGAGGGAGCCTCGTTCTTAGGCTACTTCATGATAGGGAAGCACCAATACTGGTATCCGGGCCCATATGGTTCAAATGAAATCGTATCCATATCTTTTGTTAACCAATACCATGAACAGATACTTGAAATCTGGAAAATCGGTAAAAGTTTAACAGAAAATGTTTATTTTTCACCCAAATTTAGAAGTTTTGGTTAATTTCTATTAATATATATATTTTAAAAAATCTTATTCACCATTATTATTTGTAACAAACACACACAAAAAAACAAAATCTGCCTTCAAATTTATTCCATTTTTGTGTGGTAGAAGTATCAGCAGTGGTACTTGGTATCGGTAAATACTCAGATCCAAGGATCTGTATCGTATCGGTTTGAAAAACGTATTGTTGCATCCCTACTTCTTGAATTTATTTGTTAATGGCAAAAATTTGATTTTGTGTTATGTGTATTCTCTACAATGCCAGAAGAGTAGCAGCCTATTGACTCTGGATCCTGGATGGAGAAAACAGGAAGAGACCTTGAGGTATGTTTTCAATGCAAAAGTTTGAAAGCTCATCAGTTACATAATAATTCAATAAAAAAAAAAACTAGCAGGTGCATGTCAGCTCTCTTCATTTAAGGACACATTTTTCTTTTTACAGTTCTTTCCTCAGCAGTTCAATGGAAATTGCTTTGGCATCTTTATGCTGGTGGTGAGAATTTTCCTTTTCCTGCCATTACTTCAATATAACATTTAAACATGTTAAAGGCTTATTTTACTTTACAGTATGCTCTCTGCATCTGCACCTCATCTCCACTATCTTTCACAGAGGTAAGCTTTTTCATAAAGTACCACCAAAATACCTGTGCCAGTCTCCAACCTTGATAAACATTATATTATATTTTTCTTAAGGAGGACATGCCAGCAATTCGCCTGTGGTGGTGTATTCAGCTGATAGAGAAATTCTCCATTGAGGGGTATGGCTAGTATTATAGACAAACTGGCACCATCATAATCACAGTTTCCAAAGTTAGTATTAATTGCAGTTTTGGCTCAGGCAACACACCAGGTCAAGCATCACTCATCTTAGCAGTAGGATATACATGAAAAGAGAAACAAATTACCGTAAGTTTGAGTGAAAATGTACATTTTTTGCACTCTCCGGGCAACTGACTCAAAAAGCCCAATTCACTTTGATGAGTGACTCATTGAAACTCGATTCAGTCAAAAGAATCGAATTTACCATCACTAGTGGACACAGCTTTGAGAATAGGACACAGATGTAAATAGTCAGCATATTCACAAGGGGGAGACAAAACTCAAAGCAAGACAGCAGCAGAGTCCAACTCCTGAAGAGACAAACAATAAACTCAAGAAACACTAAACAGTAAGTTTATGACCTGCTTTTTGTAGTTACTGCTGATAAATAAATATGATTTTACTGACAATTAGCAAACATTTTTATTTCCTAACAGTTAGCTATCATAGTTTAATATGATTCATAATTCATTTTTAATCAATGTGCTATGCTAAAATCTTATAAAATGTGCCCTGTTAATTTTGTAACAAAGGTGAAGACAGGAAGAGTTTGAAGTAGAAAGTTGTTGGAGCTTTTTCATAGTGTACTGATGGTCCCCATGAAGTGGACCTGACAGTCACTAGAAATGAAAGCAAAAAGGCCAGAGTATACAAAAGTACATAAAGCATTTCAAGCAACTTAAAGAAGTCCAGACGCTTTTCTTTGCAAGCTCCTTTGACTACGATGACCTGGATGACTGAGAACCTTCACAGACATTTGCAGCATGTACATCTCATTTTGGTTTGATTCATCACCTGTACAACACAGCAGCTCTTCACATATTTGGTAGGACCAGTATCATTTTACATTAAGGGGTAAGATATTGAATGCATTTATTAATTATTGGCCATAAGGCCATCATTAATTTACATTTGTTGTCTTTTACATTTTTGCAATGTCATTTGTATTGAGATAGATCAATATATTTCAGATGGAATATATGTGTGTGTGTGTGTGTGTGTGTGTGTGTGTGTGTGTGTGTGTGTGTGTGTGTGTGTGTGTGTGTGTGTGTACTCTTTGAGTGTTAGTTGTTTTAAGTGTGCTTGGTAGTCACAGAAATAGTTTTGCAACCTAATATCTGATTTACTCTTGAAGCGAGTGGTACTAAGTCTGTTGATGTGCTGTTAACTTTTAGTGAATGCACAGATACACTTTGTTCAAACTTTACAGAATTTGTGAAATGTAAACAATGTTTATCCAAAATTCAAAATATTTCGTCATAGTTAAATCGAACTATATAACTTTAAATGGTGGGTTTTTTGATGTAGTGTAGGCGTTCAGGTACACTTTGAAACTCACATTTCTCAGCTTCAACTAAGTGCTTATTCCCCCATGTGTACTACATAGATGGAACTATGATGTTCTTTGAGATTGCATTGATAGGAAAATGAAACTGTTGTTCAGGTTAAAAAAAACAAACAAAGTGATTTTGACAGTTAATGTGAGTGATGTGAGTACATGATCAAACAAAGCTTGAAAAACCGTACGGGGTGGCTGTTATACCGGCAGGTATGACAAAGTAGTCAATGTGCCAAAAGGGTGTGTTAAAGGCTGATATCTGCTTATCTCACACTGAGCGAACATTTTGACACCGTCCTGAGCAAAACTAATCAGTGATAACAGTTTTAACAATAAACAGATAACAGTTCATTGAAGTAAAATACTTTTTACTTCAATATATTTTCAACAACTTTTTCTTTTATGCATCTTTACCAGCTGTCATCCCAACCAGTTTACATATTATGTAAAAGGTGAACAGAATTGTTTGTGCGCATTTGAAATATTTAAATGTGTGGGGTTTTTTGTTGAGGGGGGGGGGGGGGTTAACACTTTTTTCTCTTTGGTTGTTATCTCAGCATTTTCATGTGAAACAGGCAAAAATCTGTGAAACAAAAATGAAAGCATGAGGAAGCTAAGTGTCTCTCCACACAGACCACACTGCTGCCAGTGTTGGGCAAGTTACTTTGAAAAAGTAAATAATTATAGTTACTGGTTACTTCTTCAAAAAAGTAACTAAGTTAGTAACTGAGTTACAAGAAGTAATTCTTCTAAAAGTAATAATTACTTGAAAAGTAACTATTGTGTTACTTAAAATAAAAAACATTTAACCCTCTGGGGTCCAGGGTATAATTGGCCATTTTTAACTACTTTTGAGTTTACCTCTACATTTCACCTTTAAAAACTATTTATTTTGCCTTGTTTAGTATCATCCTTTTCAGCACAACCTCACGTGTTTGACTTTAAAGTTATTTTTTCAGTTTGACATACTGTATTAACACAATTGATCTAAAATCAGACAAAAAAACATAAAATCAGAGTAGAAAAAAGTGTTATTTTTTACTATAACAACCACAAACATGTTTAATGAATCATATTTCATAACTTTAAATGCAAATATAAATTGTCAATTTTAAAATCCTATGCACAAGTTTTGCAAACAACAAAGTTATTTGCATCCATTTACCTTTTACCCTTTTTTAACCAACCATTCAAACGATTTACAGAACAATCAGCTGTTCTGCATTCAATAAGATGCCTCACAAATTATTTGTGCCACTCCAAAGAAATAATTTCTGTCCACTATAAAGGAGAACATCACAGCCTGATACCTGCAGGTCTGACAGCAGCAGGTGTATCACTCCTGTTTCTAACCTGGAGACAGCAGTCGCCTCATTGTCCTGACACACAACACAAAACTATCCACAGCTCTAAACACTAACTACACAAGACAACACATTAACTACACACTCTAAACACACTAAACGTCATAAGCAGAGAGTGCTTGCTAGCGCTGTCCTTAGACAATAAACGTGACGAAACTATTGAGGAAAAAACGCTGCGCATATATTGTTTATCATTACTCTGGTTTTACGTGGCCTTTATATGCTAAATTATGGGTTTTATTCTTGTTTGTTTGTTTTCAGCACCACCAGAGGACTGTTTTTTATTTTCACAGTAATACATATGACCAACAGTTAAATTGTCAGTGATCGGCAGAGGCGTGAAGTAACAAAGTACAAGTGCATGTGACATTGTGTTTTTTCATGTTGTGAAACCTGCTGCAAAACAAACTGAGATAGACTAACTGTGTTATTTAAAGGTTGCATGAAAATGCTCTGCAGGCTATTACAGAATAAACAGGTTGGTTTGGTTTACTTAAAGCAAAAAACAATGTGTGACTGGTGCAATGGCTGTGGTTTCATGGTCAGCGTTAGCTTACATAAAGAGTAGTAGAATTTCAAGATGATGGTGATGGTGATGGTGGTATAGTGTCTAATTTTAGGACAATATAAACAGTGTGCTATCAGCATAGAAGATGAAAGGCAAAAAGCTGCAGGTTCACACTAAAGAACTAAAGACCTCCCTGTAACACACATCAGTGTATATTGCTCAGCATGACACACACCCTCCGTTCAGTGGTACAAAGTCTTTCATTTACAACAACCTTTGGCCACAAACTCTGGGCTGCCTGCTTGGGTGTAACAGCCTAGAGGACACTGAGCTGGTTTCATGGTTCTTGAACCCTCCATCCGAATGGACGTTAACAATCTTCAGAACAAACTAGCCCATATCTATGGGCTGATTTCTACTAGTAACACCCATTATCCACTGTTGGGTTGGACAGAGGTAAAATAGCAGGAAAGTGAGTAAATGAATAGATAAAATAAAATGAAGAAATATGTAATTTTCCCTTAAGCTTTCGGAGTTCAAATATCTAAAAATGGATTCATGATTCCATCATATTAATCACATCTATGCTTGACCTGAAGGACATAATCAGAACTTATGAACCAAAGAAAGACAGTCATCATCTTTGTTGTAGAGAGCAGGGGGTTATGACAGTTTCTACATGCATCAGATCTGATTCTTTTTCCCTTCAGGGTTTGGCAAAGGAAGCACCACAAAGCATCTTCACATAATACATTTATTTAAATTGCATACAAATGTATAATGTTTAAATTAAAGAATCATTGTCGTAAAACCAAAGAAATTCTTTGTTTACTACAACATTTTGCCAAAGTAAATGAAAGATGGTGATCACCCCACCGAGTATTTTTACAGTTCTTGATTCATCTTGCAAAGTCTTCTTCTTGTCCATGCAAATTTTCCCATTCTTTACAAGGCGCAAATTGATTTCATTCATTTCCTGAATTGGCGGGGACTCTTCTAATAACATCTCCAGTTTCACTTGATGTGTGTAGTTCTCTAACAGTTCATCAATTTCTCTTGTTACCATTTGGAAAATCTTTGTACTTCTTGCCTGAATGAGAAAATAAACATTTTAGCACAAATTATATAACTGCTGTTTTCTACACTTACATGAGTTTGAATTTTCTTTGGTGTGTATCACATTACTAAATGTATCCTGATGTTACTGGAGTTTTTTAGTTACTAGTTTTATGAATTAAAGACTTTCTCAGTCAACATGTGAATAACTTGGAGAATATCTGACCCACCTTCAGCCTTTCTTCAAAATTTACAGCTCTTTGTAGGGTTTCCTGGAATAGTTCCTGAAAATTTTCCCCAAAAAACAGAGCACAGTGAGTTTGACAGTTGCTGAACATTTAAAACCACACCAAAGGAAGGGCATTCTTACACAGAAAGGGATCATTTATATGAAACTAATTAACAAAGGTTAAGGAAATATTAATTCACCAGTTGGCCCTTGTGGGTCAGTGAACTTGAGAGATCCAATAGTATTGTGATTGTTTCCTTTCTATATTTGTCTTCTGCCTATTGGGAAAAAAAGATAGCACATTAAAATTTACTATATTATTCTGCATTGTATACTCTGCATTTACTGTGCTTGCAAGACTTGCAGTATAGATAGTCCAGTGTAATATGCATTTATTAAGGTATATTTAAAGAGTTAATTCTTATCTTCTGCCCAAACACTCTACAAAGCCAACTTGGAGACGGAATGACCCACCTTCCATCTGTTTGTGTCTTTTACTCCTTGCTTGATCGCCTCAAGTATCTATACAAACCATTGCAAATAATGAAAAAAAGACAGTTAATGAGCTTATGATGACTTAGACTCTATATGTACACAGAAGTGTGTAATTGTTGTATCAAAAAGGGAATTCAGGAAGACTGAATTCACCTGTTGTTCCTCGGAAGCTTGGGAACTTGCGACTGAAGCAAGACACAGCAGAGAGAAGATGAGAAATAAGCCTTTGGTGGCTATAGTTGGTCCCCTGATTCTGGAAAAGACTGCTGCTGCCATTGCTCTTAGAAGTGGAACAAGCTATATATATATATAGAGAGAGAGATTTTAGATATATCCACCAGCTTTCCATTTTTTTAAGTGATCATGCTTTCCAGGTTGATATAAATTTAATCTGTAAATGAATTCAATATAAATCATATAACTGTGCATGATTACGATTACTACACTTACCTGCTGAGTGAAGAAGAGCTGTTGTACCGTACGGGTGAAGAATGAAAACATAATGCTACAAAGGCTTTATATACGGTGTCACTCCAGCTCACACTATATCTACGCTTGTGAAAAGCGCTTTCACTATTGTTTTTGTCAAAGTTGTGTTTGTCTAGTCCTGTTGATAGAAGCCCAACGGTTACTGTTATGAAATAACATCATGTAAAAAGAGGTTTTTCTAGTTGAAGCCTTTCCCGTAACCTAGGTTGGAAATGCATAATAAGTATCATAAATAAGTATCATAAATTACTTAATTACTTTTTAGTAGTGTTTAATAAGTAATAGTAAAGTTACTATTTATATTTTCTTATTTTATAGGGTTTATTTAACTAAAAAATTAAACTTTTTATGAGTTCATCTGGTTCAGTCAGGTTAATATTGTGAATTAAGTTATTTTAACTACACAGAGGAGTTTTATGACCAACACCTGATAATTTTCCTCACTTTTACTTTTAAAGCAAACAGTTTCATGCACATTAAAGACCTTTATCAAATTACATCACCATTTGAAACAAACACCTTTCTATTTAGGAATATATTGGTTCGTGGATAGTATATTACAAATACACACTCATGTATAACTAATACACATAAAAACAATTGCCCAGTCATAGCAATAATATGTCCAAAAAGCAGATTTGACAAGTGTAGGATTTTTTTTAATTATATTACTATCTCTTCACCATGTTTCTGAAAGCAGTAGGCATAGTAAAAAAAAAGAAAAGAAAAGTATACCACACAGAGCGATTACTATGATATAATTTATTTAAACTCTAAAAATAATTTAGGGCTAGCCATCATTACAATATTGAAGATCCATAATAACCAACAGAAGATACAAAATGAAAGAGAACACAGTAAGATAACAATATGTGAATATAAACTATTAAGAGCTATGAACGCCACACACACTTGTCAGGTACTTTTTCCAAGTTTGGTTATAATAATACCTGGAGTACCAATATAGCATTTTGCATATTATACTATTCCAATGTGAACAGTATAGATAGCATAGTTCTTAAACAACCAATCTTTTCATGTCTAATGATGAGATACAACGATGAGTTTTATAAACTTGAGGGTAGAATGATGAACAAAACTATTTTCAAGAGTGTAGGCAAATCCATGCCAGTACCCTCCATAATGTCTGGGACAAAGACATCACAAAAATCCAAAGTAAAGACAAAATAGCTTCAACTATTTGCAAAACATGGAAATCATATTTGTCTTTTACTCAAATATTAATGAATGCACCCTGTCAACATGTGATGCCAGTATTGCTGACAGCATCCCTGTGTTAAGAGAACAACATAAACTTAAAAAACATAAAGTTTTCTATGTGTCCGATAATAGTTTTAGATCTTTAAGAACATTGAAATAATGAGGTTCAGGAAAGAAAACAATTCCCAGTTCAGGAACAGTAAAAACAAAACAAATAAATGCCTCATCCAGCTCTTTAATCAAAATAGTAATAACAACGATGCCAAACTCTAAATCATATCTATCATTTATTTTAAAGAAGTTAGAAACATTTATAGTTCATTCCATTGAGTTTTAGGATCTCCATCATTTTTTTCACTTTCTTTTTCACCCATTTTTAACAAGTCATCTTCCTTTCTTTTGAACAGGATCTTGGATTTCTCAAGGAAGTGAATCAAGTTATTTACTAAATCCACCAGTGGTGGAAAATGCTCTGAAAATGATGATGTCTTCATTAGTTCTTGGGTAAATTGAAGATACTGTAGTTTTTCATCAGCTTCTCTTGAGACTTCCTTGATTTTCTGTAATTTGCAAAAGTAGAATGCATCAGTTGCTTAAGAGCTGCATATTAACAACTGTAAGTGAAGAAAAAACATCCAGACTTTGATAAGTTTATAGTGACTTATAGTGTTACATTCAAATATTCCTCAGTTGTCTGTGAATTTGACGCATAGACCAGGGACAGCAGCAATAAGATGATTACAACTTTGGTGTTTCTGCTTTTGGAGACGCCTTCTGCTGCCATCACTGGTGAAATAAAAACTTCTGGAGAGAAAATGACAGAAAATAAATGAAATGAATAAATGAAGAATTAAATGTATGCTTCCTGTTGTTATGTTATTATTATATATTGTATAAAACATATTAACTATAAACCATCTTATGGTATAGTTTTGGCTGATCTTACCTGGCTGGTGAAAGGAGAAAGAGCTGTTGCACTATACAGGTGTAGACTGAAAACACAATGGACTCACACGTTACAGATACTTTAAGTGCTCTTTCACTTTCATGTAATATGATCCACTTTATGGAAATTAAGGCCCATCAGTTCTGACTTTTAAACAGTCAAAGGATATTCCACATACGTCACCTTTAACAACAGCCACGACAGAAGCGTGGCAGAAAAAGGATAAGAATGTGGTTAAGCATGTAACTCAGCATCATTTCAAGAAAAAACTATCGACCGTTTGTGTACATGAACAGGAAAATCTAGATGGCTTTCCTGGGATAATTTTACAAACTGCCCTGAGACTGGGTTTGTTTAACACATGAGCTACTTATAAAGACAAAGAAATGTGTTTTTAGACATTAAAACAGAATATACAAATGAACGGAAAGCGAATAATCCAATGTTAGAGCCAGCATCACTTCATATGCTTCATATTCCAGTTCTCCAATGATTAAACTTTTTGGTTTTCGTTTAGTATTCATCTCATCATTCTCATATAATCAATAGTATATCTCAACACTAAAATCGGCATTACATATATTGAGCAACATAAGCATGAAGCAATATACTTATAACCTGGTAACAGTGTTCATAATTTGATGCAAACACTAAAAACAAAAGTATAAAAAGTACAATTCAGACCCTTTCAGACCTTTATTTGCAGTGTGCTTTTTACATCCATTTGTATCATTGTTTCTCAAATATGTCATCCTTTGATAATGATTGTATGTATTATAGGGTTACACATGGCCAATTTCATCAGTGAGCCACAGTCATCCTTCCTTGTGAATTTCACAGTTTGTAAAAATAGGCATTTATAACAAATCATCAGTATTACTAATTTTACTTGACAAACAAAATATACGTGTTTGGTGGTTGATGTTTCCAAATAAATCACAGATTCGGACTAGAATATTCCTGTGCTTTTAGTTCAGCAGCATTGAAGGGAACTTGACCAGATAGCTCATTGTATCCTCATCACATTATTGAGGTATAACCAGAAAACATAGCCTGGCCCTTTTATTTCAGAATGGCAAGGAAAGAAAGGATATATAAAATATAGTGTGTATAATCTAGTTAGCCAAAAACAGTGTAAGAGCTGATTGGTATTTTGCATTTTGTGGGTTACAGAATTTAGATTTTTGGCAGTGAGCAAACACTGGACACCAATCAGCCACAGTTCTTGTACTTTCTTCTGAATTTTAAAAAGAAAAATTGCAAAAAAAAGAAAAAAAAGGCAATGATAACAGTTTTATTAAGTTTTTATTCACATTAAAGTGTTTCTTCATATAAATCATTGATAATTGTCAATTACTTCACATGCAAAATCCCCATGATCAGTGGCTTGTACTTGCATTACAACTTTTTTTATAATGAAGATAATGAAAAAGAGAAATTTGAAAAGTTATTTTTTCAGGTCAAAAGTAAGTTTACAGTTAGATTTACTCAGCAATTTAAAATATCACTGGGACTCATAAGGGAAAAACATCAAACTGAAACTGCATGGTATAAAAGAGAAGTTTTACAAACACAATACAAAGAGTATTAGAGACATATGCAGACTAATGTGTTACAATTCATCTTTATGTTTCTCTAGGTGTGTTAGCCGCTCCATCACAACATTTAGTTTCTCTTCATAGTCCTTGATTTCTCCAGCTGTCATCTCAAGGTGTTTGTCTATGTACTTCTTGGTGGCTTTCAGGAATGTTTTCATGTCATCAATTAAATCCAGCACTGGTGAATAATGTTCACTTGTTGTATTTAGAGTTTCATAGAAAATGTCCATAAGTCGCATATAATCATCATAGAATAGTGGAATATAGAATATGTCTAATTTGAGATTATCCTGGAGGAGAAAATAAAGAAACAAATGTGTAAAAACTACTTTTATATTCTTTTTTTGGTTTTGGTTGTTTAATAAATTTATAAATATTTATATTAGCAGTGATAGATATTTCACATTACTCATTCACGCTAACAACATGGACAGAGACAGACTCACCTTCCTTGTCACTGCTGCTTGTTGTAATTTCTGAATGTTTTCTTTCAGTCCTTCCTGCAAATCCAGATAGAGAATGTCCACAAGCAGCATGTGAAACATGTGTGCCAAAGGCAAACTGGTAAAAGTAAAACTACAACTGTGTGTGTGTGTGTGTGTGTGTGTGTCTGTGTGTGTGCGTGAGTGTGTGTGTGTGGTGTGTGCTGTGTGTGTGTGTGTGTGTGTGTGTGTGTGTGTGTGTGTGTGATAGTTAAATATATCACAATCATTTTACCAGTTGGTCCTTATTTATCAGTGAACTTGAAAGGTTGACCAGAACCAACAGGGTGAAAATGATGAATAAACCCCTGATGGTTGTGACACCACTCACTCCTTTGCTTCTGGATAAATTCACAGTTGTCATCATTCTTCTGAAGAAAACAGAGCATGAAGTAAATTTAAACGTTTAAGTAACAAAATTGCAAGTTTTAATTTGAGTGAAAATTGTATAAAAATACCTGCAATATCCTCTTATAGTACAGTGTTCTAGTTTGTTTTTTTTAACTTGCTACAGGAGAACTAATGAATGATAGTATGAAGGGCTCACACCACAAAATGCTTTATATTCTTCAGTGTCCCCTCCCCCATGACACAGCTTACCTGTGCGTGACTTGGCTTGTCTGTGGGTGTGTCTGTGTGCCTCTGATTTCTAGAAGTGGCAATATTCACTTTTGTTTTACAGTAAAACACAAACTTCATTTATGGTAAAAAACAAAATAAGTTCAATTCAATTATATATCACCAAATCACAAAAGCTGTCGCCTCAAGGTGCTTTAAATTGTAAGGTAGACCATATGACCTCCTATGAGCAAGCACTTTGGCGACAGTAGGAAGGAAAAACTCCCTTTTA